CCCCAAAACCCCAAAACCCCAAAACCCCAAAACCCCTCTTTTTAATGAAAATTTTGAAAATGAAGAATATTAAAAAATTCAAAGACAGATTTTGGGAAGGTAAAGATGGGGATGAGGTTCGAAAGAGAGAGAATTTACTGAAAAAGTGGAAGTCAGCTTGGAGTTAAAAATCTGATTTGGAACTGTATTATGGGAGATAAAATCTGAAGAATCTGTGAAAAAGAAACTCTCTTGGGTAACCTGTCTTCGCCAGTCGTAGAGAGTGAGAGATCTTCATCAGAGACATCATTTAAGTAATCCATTAGATTTTTGGCAGTCTTACTATTTTTCCTCGAAGAAGGAGAACAGAACAGCGTGTAATTCTTGCTGTCACCTCCACGATTCCTATTGTTTTGTGGTGCTCCTAGTGTCTTCATATTATCAATCCCCTATAGTAATAAGCATTTGAACCAAAGTGTGAGAATAAAAGATCTGTTAGCTTCGAAAACTTCATAAAGGCTTCGTAACATGATATAATAAAAAGCATAAGTTGGTTACTACTCCTTCTGAACCTCAGGCCTACCTCTTTAGTGTAGTCTCCATCAAGATCGCTATACCTTGACACAGAGATAGCAGGCATCTTGGAATTTTTAAAAATATCTAACTTCTTCACAGTTGTAACCGTTATTTTAGGATTTTTCCTCGATGAATTTCTGTTAAAAGTGATCGGGATTTTAGAACGTCCTGTACGAACATTTGTAAGTTTTGGCCTGTGAGAGAGCGGACTGAGGAAATTTAGCTGTAAGCGAGGTTAGACAGAGATCAAGAAGAAACTAGACCAAGGTTGGATTAACTGGAGATAAGGCATGAATTTGATCTGTATATGGTTAAAATATAATTAGAGAAATTAAATCGAAACAATATAGATACTAAACTAGCTATGAGTTTGCTCAGGCATATCGTTAATATGCTTGGCTGGATGTAGAGAGATTATTAATGTTAGCAAGAAGCTCATTGATTATGTGATGGTTGGCCTGATTATAATAGAAAAGTATTTTATTCGAAGCAAGCACGTATTAATTATCTATATATGCAAACTCAAATCCTTTTTAATGCTTTACTCTCACTTCTGATTAACAAAGTTATAACATTGTCTATATAAAGAATAACCAGATTCGATTTATCATTTATAATTTCATAATAAACTGTTACCAATGTTTGTAAAATTTCAGAGGTGGAATAGCATTCCTCCATCTCTACTGAAATTAACACTGCTCTAATAAGTGAAAATATCTTTAAGAAATTCTTAGGAGAGTAGTATCAAATAAGAGCCAAACCACAGTTATGATATCTTACTTTATTTCTTAAGGAATTTGCTAAGATCCCTTTTTGGATATCCATTGTGCTTTCTTTTAGTTGAACATATGTTTGTGACAAACCTTCTTAAGAATTCTCGGAGGATTTTTCAGCTTCATCTTCTGTAATTTCTCTAATAGAGTTCCCTTGGCTGCCGGCTTTCTGCTAAAAGGGTTAGTTTTAACCTTAGAAATAGGGTCAAGTTTCATTTCTTTCACCTGATTAATACTCATTGGTGAGTGCTATGTAAGAAATATGACTTAATGTTAATAAGAAGTTGTAACTTACAAAGCGGGAGAAGCAAAGTCTCTCCTTCTGAGGCTCTCTAATACTCTCTAATGGAGAAGATGCGTAATGTCGGGCTCTTCCTGATGACATAGGAGTGTGGCTAGGCGACGAGATATAATTTATAGTATCAATCTTGTAAAAAATCAGGGGTTTTGGGGTTTTGGGGTTTTGGGGTTTTGGGG